CTGCCTCCCGCGCATCGCGTTCAGCAGATGTCCAATGCTCTTGCCGGAGCCCGTCTGTGCCGCCGCTGGCTCCTTCACTTCTTTTGCAGCAGGTGCTGAGTCTTTCTCGTTGGGTGGCGGGACGTCGCGGAGCTTCTCCGTCTCGAAGAGCTTCATCTCCAACCGTCGGTACAGGGCGAAGAGGTTGGGTGATTCGGGAAGTTCAGGAGCCGGACGGGCGGCGATATGGGCGACGAAGACGGTTAGGAGAAGGCCTAAAATATGGACAAATATTGTTCTGTTTTGTTGAGGTTTAGATTTGTAGGTAGATTCCGGTCTGAATTTAAGTCTAAGCCATAGGTCTGAATTTAGGCATAAGATACGGATCGAGTGGAAGCGTAAAATTTAGGCCGGGACTAAAGCCTAAGTTTAAGAGCTAAGCGTGTGCACTCCGTTTGAGAACTTACGATGAGGTAAGCCTAAGACTAAATAGTGGCAACTCGGTTAAAGCGCTAAGCATCAGCCCAGCTTAAGATATAGACCTAGATTTTTAGGCAGTAAGTCGGCTTTAGCTTGAGAACGAATCCTTACCGGCTAGCATCGTGAACTGCATTCTTCTGAGAACTGATAGGCAGGTAGGGTCTGCAAGGACCGACGATGAATTCTCGCTGGCACCGGACGGTACGCTGTTGACCGAAAACGAAAAAGAAAGCAGTCAGCAATGGAGTCCGATCGAGACTACACTCGTCGCAGAACGGAACTGAATTCGCCACCGCAGAACGTCTCGATTTTATACACTTTCAGGTGAACCGAGCGTTTTCGGGACGCGTGATTAATGCTTCTGCGCGCGTCGGGCGGGCCCGAGATGCTTCCGCGCGTTTCCCGACGAAGAGGAATGCGTGAACTTTACACTGCCACAGATCAGTGGTGTGACGCTCGAAGCGCGGGGCTTGAAATAACGAAGTGACGGATGGCTCCGGAAGCCGTAATGGCTGTTTTCGTGGGCTAAAACGTCAATCATCGAGGTGGCGGTTGGGTAAATGTTTTGCGGAATCGCGCGACGACGTCGACGACTTCCTGACGTGGTGCAAGAGTTAAGTTGGGTACATGGGACGTGCGTTGCGCACTTTCAGCTTCCACGAGGTCACACACAACGCAGAATGCGTACTGTTACTACAGCGCTAAGAGTGGTTCCACATTAAGCTTCTTAAACTGGTTCTACACCATGCGACGAAGGACTGTTTAGTGAGCCTTTGTGTACCCATCCAACTTCCGCATGGGCTGGCATCAGAATCTCGTTATTTAATTCCCTGAGGAAACTGAAAGATGCGGGGCGTTGCTTCGTCACTCTATAGGTAAAATGCAGCGTAATAAGGACCCTCAAGGGCTTGGAGTCGTCTCACAAAAACCCTTCCAACCGGCGTCTTCTGATGTAAGCCGCATCGATGCGACCTGGGGCCAGCGCTTAACGCACATCGTAGCGTGCGTCTTGAGATTTTAGACATAACAACGTCCAACGATACGTTCTTTTTATGACGCACACGGACCTTGTTTACGTCCTTTTATTCTCCTGCTTCCCGAACCGCTTTTGTCGAGGCCTTGAGTATGCTTTGAACCGTAAATAAAAAAGTGTTCTCTTAGCCAAATCATGGTCGAACAGAAATGGAACTTTCACCAGGTCCGAAGTTATTTTAAGCCTTATCGACCAGGTGCTACCCCCACTCAACTGTCCGGTTATTTCGGTCCGTCACAGGACCTACAACAAATTTCGTCGACAAGTGACCAATCGGAAACATAAATCACATGTTGCGCATGAAGAGGAGACGCTCCTTCTGATGGGTTTGTCGCCGGGTTCACGGATCGCGGACGTCTATCTTCGGTAGACCTAATGGCGGTACCGCGGTTGTTGCTGTCTTCGGTGCAATAAAACCGTGAAAGTCAACAGGTTCAAGTGCCTACTGGCTAGACTCTTGGCAATCCCGTTTAAAGATAAACCGTACCTGACGTTGGGAATGGTCTTAGAGCAACACTCTCGGGCCGCAGATTTTCGGCTGGTTCCTGGATGTAGCGGAACGGTCAGCAGCTCTGCTGGCCACCAAGATATTTTAGCCATGTCGTATCATGTGCTTCAACGACGCTACAACGAATTTGTCGATGGAGGAGAAACATAAATCACGTGTGGCGCATGAAATGGAGATGTTCCTTGGGATGGGTTCGTCGGCGGGTCCGCGGCGGTCATTGGTCTTTGGTTAGATCCAGTTGATATGTGCTACGGCTGTTGTTTTCGGGGCGCAATAAAACTGCGGAAGTTATGTGTTTACAATTATTGCATGACTACGCTCTGGTTAGTTCTCGATCGGGCACCGTCATTCGATGACTAATTATGCTTTAATTCGTATCCTTGACGCATACACCAAGGAAGTGGCAGTCGAACTGTGCTTGTCCCCACTTGCGAAACCCGACATCGTTAAAGGTGTCCGGATCGATCACTACGTACGCGTTGTTCCAACCCTCACCGTTGCAGTTCAGCGGCTTCCCGGCGTCCCAGTTGGTGAAGTCAACGCGGCTACCGTCCACCCACTCCCAATTGCATTTGCCGGTGGGATCGTGGAGACCCAACCAGGCAGCATGGCCGTCGGCGCCGACCGCCTTTAGGAGGTAGTCTGAAATGATATGATTGTGGGCATACCTGGGTCTTGATCTTTTTTTGTTCACTTTTCATTACGTCCTATGTGTCGATGTAAGAACCACAAATTTGTCCGAGCGTGCTTGTAAGTAGCGGTCGCCAGTCTTGGGCTTCTTGGGACTGGCCAAATTTTTTTTAATAGTCCTGAGAAGCCATGGATTTTTGTCTGTCGGAAAGTACTGTAGACAGGGTCAGTTGCATAAACTGGGGTAAAAATCCCCCCCCCCACCCCACCCCTCCCGGTTCCTTGTCAGCTCCAGTGGTTTCAGAATTAGGTACGGCATGGTCGCTACTATGCGAGACCCAGGGCATCGTCTCTACGAACCCTTTGTAACTGCTTAAGACGAACGGCATTTACCGCACATCACCAGAGCGGGTAATTCTACAATGAGCATTTGCCCGTATTACCTGTCAACCAGAAATTCTCGGCGTCATTATGGACCGAAACAAGCTCGGCGTACTGCCGGCCGCAATGATCCCTGACATCTTGGAACAATCCGCCAAATATCTAAAACGCGTCCGATCCTATCCAAAATCCTCTACGATCAGCCTACGCTGTAGCACTTCTCCGTAACGTTACTATAGGTCCATCCGGGTGAGCATCCTTTCTGCGACGACGGACACGTTGGACAAGTTTTTGGTGGAGGGCACGTAGCGGGCGCCGGCTGCACACCGCTATCGCCTTTTGCAGGGTACTGGCAAATGTATGAACTGTGGTTGTCGCAAGACGTAGCATACCACTTGGTTGTGTTCGCATACGCCAGCGAACACCGGACATCAGTGTTCGAGGTTGGTTGCCCTAAAGGTTGTCTGATGCAGTGTGTCTCTCACATGAACGCCTCCTGAGCTGGCTAAACAACTCATTTTGAGGGGTCTCTAGGGAGGTGTTGGAGCTTGTCCCTATCACTTACTTAACACAATGCGACCAAATACAAAAACCATATGACCAAGATACAAAACTCATACTTGGGAAGGCTCGCCTTAGCAGAACAATTCAGATTTGGCCGTGACTCTATTGAATTTTTGCGCTCTCACATATGGTTCGCCGAGTCCCCCCCCCCCCCCGCCCTGCTTGTCCGACCAGACGCGTAGCCTGCAGGTATGGACGTAAATACCTTGCCACTAATGGCTTAGGGGAAACTACGGGCTTGGCTCGGGGGAAATTAGGTGGGGAAAGGAGATACTGTGGACGGAGAAGGTTAGAGGGCTCCGTTCAGGCATGATTCTTGCTCCTAGTTTTACCCACAAGACATACTAAAAGCGACGTCGTCGCATGAATTCTCTTCTATAACGGTTTACCGATTACAGCATACCTTTCGGCCAGTCCGCATACTTGAATGCGCTACCGTCGGTCCAGCTCCAGTTGGTCGACGTGACGCCCACGCTCGGCCCTAGCCAAAACGACTCTGCGCGAAACTTTGATCCGAGCTTGTCAAGCAGGAAAGAGTTCAAGAAAGCGTTTCTAACGGATGCCAGATGTCCGCCGCTTAATTGGCAGTTCTCTTCGGCCTCGTACCAGGACTCCGACAGCATGTTGTAATCGTAGCATACGTCATCGGAGAGGCCTTGCACTGCACCAGACGGGCAGCCAGCTGTGCAAAGGTCAACGCAGGTCAGCACGAGAACGAAGAAATATCTTGGCATCTCCCCAGAAGAACGAAGACACATTTATTCCGGTTCAATCGTCAAGGAACGTTTACGCATTCGTTGGCGCTAATCACTTTATCAGTTCTTTGTTCTTGCGAGCACGATGGGTCATCGTGGTTCTTTGTTCTGTGTTTGCGCTCCTCATGAGAAACAAACACAACATTGTTATACCCCTCGAACATTGGTTTGTTAATAAAAATTCATCTAGGAATAGATTGTACTGAACCCACTATTCCAAAGTAGGGCTAATGTATTCCGTTTATGGCTTTGCCGCCGTGGTCAGCAGGGCTAATACCGTAATACTTCTAATAGAGGCGCATTTCTAATAGAGGCGCATTTCTAATAGAAGCGCACCTGTGGGGGAAGGTAAAAAAATAGAGGCGCACTAAGCCTCGGCGATATGTACTGGTCCCCAAGCGACTCATGGAAGCCCAGAAATGATGATATAATGAAATCTACAGCTATACAACCACTTGATGAACGGAGAACATGAGGTCACAGCTGCTGGGAATCCGAAATCGCCAACGCCAGAAGTGTACTACAAGCTCGCACAGAAGCGTGAGGAGGCAGAAGCGGTAGACCTTGCTGAGATCATGACCGGCTTTGAGCTGGACCTCGATGAAGACGACGTCGGCAACGTCAGTGATGCTGAAATTGTCGACGATCCGCGCAAGGAAGGGAACAAGGAGCGGCCATGGCCGAGCGGTCTAAGGCGCCAGCTTGCGCTTTCCACTCGGTCGGCGTGCAAAGGGCGCGGGTTCGATCCCCGGCCGCTGCTGAGCTCGCCAGCCGCCCGGTTGACTCAGCCGCCCGCGAAGGGGAAATGAGAAGGCGCGCGATTGTGGGCGCGACATCGAGGGGAGCCCGACCAAAGGTCGTGCGTCGCATCGAAAGACCCCTCACCTCACTGGTACTCGAGACTCATGCGCCGGGGTATCGAGTAGGTGGGCGTAGTCCTAGGACGAACCACCTCGCCAACGCCGCTGAAAGCAATGGCGTACCAGAACGACAAAAAAAAGGAAGGGAACAATGACGCAGAGAGCGACTGCTCGGACGATAGCGAGTTCTGAGTACACGAAACCTCTTATTGTTGCTTGTTAAATTAGGTAATAAACTTGTTGTTTACTAGGGTAAAAAATAGAAGCGCAGTCTCTAATAGAGGCGCATTTCTAATAGAAGCGCACCTTTGGGGGAAGGTAAAAAAATATAGGCGCTGCGCCTCTATTAGAAGCATTACGGTAGGTCGCCCAAAATCGGCGTCGTAACGAGGCCTCTTCGATCGTCGGAAGAAACAGTCAAAATTTTATTAGAGGATATTGCAAAGTCAAATTATGCAGTCGGACCACTGAAAATTCTAACTATCCAGCAAAACCTCCGCGCTGATGACTCGCTGGAACTGATCCGCCGACTCGTCGCTGAATCCGCTGAAGTTATCCGCCCCGCTCGAGACCATCTCGATCCATTGCGCGTTGTGGTATCGGAATCGCTCCTCGACGATCCGCTTGCTCCACGCCTCACTGTACGTCTGAAAAAGGAAATTTTAAATTAGCGCAATATTTTGTAAAATATCAATAACAAATGGCGAAAATAAAAAGCATTAACAACTACATAAAGTTATTTTGGGTTGGTATTTCTGTTTCCGTCTTGTTTTTCTTCGGCGCAAATTCGGTGCTTAAAATAAAAATTAATTAGCGAATTAATCCTTTTAGATGGAAAAGTACTATTTCGAAGTTTTAATATTTTAATTGAACTGACGATACTTACAGCGACGAGTTGTAGTGCCTGGTCGCAGACGGCACGCAGCTGCGGGTTCTTGTCGTGCATCAGATTGATGAGATATTCGACCACTTCACTCTCTTCGCCACACAGTCCCGCACAGATGCTCGGATGCGAGAAGAGACAGTTGATCAGGAACACGATCTGCAGGACGATCTCGTCGTCGTCTTGGTTCTCTGAAACGAGCAACAGTCTTTTAGGCAGCTCAAGAAGCCCATAAGCTGACAGGCTTGTGATATGATCCTTCTCCGTCCGCAGAATGTCCGCCTTCCCATATTCCGGGACAAAATCCCTTGCTTCTTGGGAGTCGGACCGGCCACTCACTGAAATCTCACTCCAAATTTTCGATATCCCGCCTCCCTCCCACCACAGGAAGCACAGAAGACGCCGGCGAATCTGGCGAGCGTCGAAGAATGAGAGAGGACAGATTTCGAAGAACGGAGCAGGTTCCGAACAGGGGGGATTCTGGATTCGGGCGGAGGACGGCGGACGTACCCAGCATAAACAGGTGCTTTGGCACCTTTAGAACCCTCCCTTCCTTTTGCGCCGGAAGGGGGTTTCTACCTCTCATCCCTCCCTCGTCCATGAGTACACACTCCGAAAATACTAGCAAAAGTCGGCAACCGTACATGTGGTACAGCCGTACTGCCGGAATATCGGTACGGTTCGGTTAGGGGTGGGCAGTACAGAGTACGGCACGGCTCCCTCGATATTTAGTACGGCTCGTAGTGCCGTTCCGTACCGTACTTACGGTGCGGCTGGGGTTAGTACGGTACGGTGTGGGTAAGTATGGTACGATTGTTGTCCATCTGTGCGTACTAGCATTGAACAAATTTTGGTCGTCCGTACTTGCGAAAAAAATTAGCACCGACTTACTTCTCAGCAGCACCACCAAGTCGTCGACGAACGGCACGATGCTCTGCGCCGACTGCTGCTGTGCCGCCATCGTGCCACAGAGAACTATCACTTGCAGAAGGACGTCGTCCGCGACATCGCCGTTCGTCACCGCAGCGCTGGCGAGAACGTTCTTGATCCACGGCGTAAGTCGTGCTTCTGCCTGGAGTGTGTGCCAGTCAGCGGAAACGATCTGAGCGGCGGTGCCGAGACACTCCATTCCGAACGTGTGGTCGGTGGTGGCGAGCCCTTTCGGGTCGATCTTAGCGACGGCGGCTTCCAGGAACTTCGACATGTGCTTCTGAAAATGTTTCGCGTAGGGACTGCATAAATCAGCAAGCAAAAGACGCCGAAGGCCTACAGGACGATCACAAGCGCTCAGTACAAAGACGTTCACTCCAGGGCACGCCGTCAGGAAGTGTGCTCCGTTACGCCAAATGGTTATTGTCCCGATACGTTGTGGTACCGCCGTACCGGACCGTACGTCGTACTATCGGTACGGTACGGCTCCAGTTTTCTCGATATTTAGCACTAGAGCGGCCCGTACCAGTACAGTTCCGTACCGTATTACGGCCCGAACTGCCGTACCGTACCGTACTGGACGATCCGAGGGTCAAGGGTCAGTACGGTACGGACTATGGTACGGCGTGGTTCAGTACGGTACAGAGTACGCCGGCCAGCGCGGTACGCAGTACGGTACGCGTGCCGGTTTCCGATCTTTACCTAACGCTCCATCGAAAGCCAACGAGGCTCTATGCCATGGCAAAGACTCATCGTTCTAGCCATCCATGTGATTTGCTTACCAGGAACAGGTCCTGCGTAGGTCCGTCATGCGAGGCACAGTTGCGCACGACTTTCATCGCAAGCGGATCGTTCCGATCGAAGGCAGTCCTGATCAATGAGTCGAGGCCCTGCCCGTTCGTCCCGCAGATCACTTGCGCGTTCCGCTTCTCCAGCGCGATGTTGATGAGTAAGGCTTTCGTCAGGTTGCACGCAGGGCTCGCGGCGAACAAGCGCATCAGCTGAAGTAGTATGTAGCATAGTAGAACAACGACAAGTACGACAAGGCATTAAGAACAAAGTGCCAATGACCGTGAAAATCGTCAAAGGAATGACACTAAAGGCCGGTAGGCTTTAAACGGTCAGAGAAGCCAGTCACCCTGCACTTACTAATGTGTTCACGCCTTGGGCTCATGACCGGGAACGTGTTTTAAAGCCCAAAGTTTCGACGGACCGACTACGGGGTGTGTTCGTGATTGTGAACAGGTCTCGGTTCCTTAATAGCTCAAATGGTTAATAGGAAAATGACCAAAACTAAAGAATCTAGTTATGCTAATTATGCCGAAATTTTCATGGCACCAGACTAGTCCTTCAGTCCTGGCAGAACAAACATTCGTCGTACCGTGTTAATCGCGTCCGTGAAGATGATCATCGCCTTTGCGTCGTCGAGGATGCTCAACTGGTAGAGTAGCGCGAGTGCCGTTCGGTTGCCTGAAGTCAAGAATAATTCCGACCTACCGCAAGCGCGGACTCACCCTCAATGTGAGGCGCTACGTAGTTCACTAGGCCCGCGGAAACCATTCTCGTGCGTAGGGTCGGATCGAAGGACAGATTGAACAGCGCAACGAAGACGAGTTCCGTCAGTTCCGCGTCGCTCTTCGGCAGCAGGCGGACCAACTTCTCGACGATTCCTTCGGCACCCTGAACGAACAAGGGGTTAAGTGGCCACCGGAACCCGTACCGTCCTCCGTACCATACTGACCCACCCCGTAGTGTACCGTACTGACTGCACGCGTACGTTCTCCGTACCGAACATTACGGTACTGTACGGCAGTACGGGCCGTAACACGGTACAGTACGCAAATAGTACGGGCCGTATTAGTGCTAAACATCGAGAAAAGTGGAGCCGTACCGTACTCCGTACCATACTGACCCACCCAGTACTGTACTGTGTTCCGTACTGACCCACCCCGTACCGTCTGACCCCACACCCCTTCCTGCACTCCGTACCGTACAGTACGATACGGCCCTACAGGCCGTTATACGGTACAGTACGATACTAGTACGGGCCGTACTAGTGTTAAATATCGAGAACAGTGGAGCCTTACCGTACTTCGTACTAGCCGACTCCACCCGCGCCGTAAGGCGTACTGTCCTGACCCACCCGTACCCTACTCCGTACCGATTGTACGGAAGTACGCTACGATACGGCCGTACCACCTGTACAGTTGAGACCTTTACTCGCCATACTGAGAAGCCCATCGCTCTATGTTTGTTCAAAGTTGTTCGATTCCGGTGCTTACCATGGCGTCCTTGTTCTCGCTGAAGACGCTGAGCTTCCAGACAAAAGTGACCGTCGTCTTCAACAAGCTTGCCGATGCCACATGATCCAGGCATTTGACCAGGATCGGGATCATGCCGCGCTTGATCATCTTGTGCTCCACCTTGATGTCGTCCGCCAGATTCAGCAGGATCTTCAGGCAGGCTAAGTGATCATCGGTAATTACGGGTAATTAGGTGCTTTAATTACCTGCAATTAGCTGGTCTTGCTTCTTCATGGCAAACTCCCACTTGAGCCGGTTCTTCTCGTTCATCGTCTGAGCCTGCTCATTCCACATGTCCCAACGCTTGAGCTCGTACTCGATCAACTGCATGGAGAGGGCGCCGATCTACAAACAGTCACAGAGGTCACTGGTCGAGGTTATGCCGATAAACTTGAAGACCAGGGTATGAAATGTCGAAATTTTGGCTCATAATAACGGCATATTTAGGGCACACTTTGGATAAAAAATAAAATGTTGCTAGAAACGTCCAAAATATTGTGTGTTGTGGCACATTATTGACGCTTTAAATAAATGTACCTAAGTTCTAAATCCGATAAAAACTGATTAGATCAAGAGGAGATTTTTAGGGGAATCCGAAGAAACCCACCTTGTAGTGCGATATCGCGGGCTGTAGTCGGACGTTCTGCGAGAACTGGTAGAAAATGTTGGCGATGTTGGTCGCCACTTCGAAGTTCTTGCGCGAGTCCTCGCGGAACACTCTCGCCAGCGCGCCCATCAGCACTTCTGAAGTTGCTACCATGATGAAGGCTTGATAGAGGAGACG